ATAATCGATTATACATATAAGCCAAGACCCTTAGAGCAATGAAAAATGTTTCATAATTGATTATGAGGGAAACCAATAAAGAAGATAAAAATGCATTGGATTTAAGAAAAATACGTACTTTTAATTAGTTATCTTTTAGAAGCTCACGAGAGTATGTTTCTCAATTTACAAGTAATCACACGATAGAGGAGAAAAAATATAATTATAAAATTATACATATTCTCTTCAAATATCATGAGAGAGGATAGACAATAACTTATAAAATTCACAAATACATTGCACTCTTGTTTTCTTTTTTATTTTATTGATGCTAAACACGTTTTAATTATTTTTGTTCTCGTTTCTAAAACGTCTAACCTTTACTTTAAAAAAAATTGTGTCAAATTTTATATATGTCACTAATTGTTAATTCAATTTGATAATTAAACATAACCAGTATCATTAATTTTAAGTTTTAAGTTATCATGTGCATAACATGTCTAATAACCAGAAGCCAGTGTTAAATTGGATTTACAAAATTTGTATCAAAATTAAATTTTGATACATTTTAAAAAAGAGAGGGCTAAAAGTTGATATTTTAAATATGAAGGACTAAGAAGAAAATTTTACATATTTACAAGGTCAAAGTAGATATTTGACCCACTTTTTTGAAATCCAAATAAATAACAAAATATGAAAACTTGAAAAAATTGAAAACCGACATAAACACTTATTTATTTATTTATTGTTATTATTATAATAATAATTTGTTTGGCTGTTCTTTACTTCTTTTGGTACGACCAAACCCATGTTCACATTATATGGATGCTCATTTTCGTTATAAGGAGGCATTTTTAAATAATGCGAGTATTTTTTTTTTTTACAAAAATTTTATAATGGGTATATGTTACAAAAATTTGGAAAAGGGATGTTTTGTTTGAAATACACGACATTTAAAAGGAACATCGTGTTTTAAAATATGACTTGTAACTTATTATTTTTAATTCAAATTAATAAAAAATCATATTTAAAATACATGATATTTGATTTTTTTTTAATTTTAATATTATTTTAAATGAAATTCGTGATTTCAACGCACAACTTTTATTTATTTTACATTTAGTGTTGTAACTGCAGTGATTTTTTTTATTGGCCAATTTTCTGCTTGTTGAAGTTAGATTATTGTCAATTTTTTAAATTTGTTATTACGTCGAGTAGTTGTATTTTACTGTCATAAAAATATATATTTTTCTGATATTTTTTACAAGACTCAATTATCTCTCTCTATATATTTACTAAAATAGATATTTATGTGAAATTAATTTTTCCCCTTAAAAATAAGAAGTGTATTAAAAGGTAAGGTATAAGTGGGTTGGCACTTGGCACCGATAATTCTTCGACTCATAAAGATTTATTAAAATAATTTATGGAATTGAATACATAAATAATAGGAAATATCGCATAAATAGTAGGAAATTAGCATATTTATGTAAATACTGAGAATAGCCTAAAGATTATGTGAAAATATTGACAGAGTTCATGATTATGTTATTTTTTAATAATTCATTTCTACTTTTAATTTCTTAATTAATAACTCAAATGTCGATTAATTGTAGCCTTATTTTTTAAAGGTAGGTACGAAAGAAGTTCAATAAACAATGGAAGAAACAAGGGTACCCGAATGTCAAACAAAAATAAAAATGCACTTGTTCGTGTTCAACATGAATGAATAATTCCGAATGGGGTCAAGGAAACAAATAGCGAAATGTGAAGCTGTGTCGGCTAAAACACGGGTCATTTCAATGTTAAGTAAACGTTTGTTCACCTAATAATCGACCAAATATGGTCACATTAGTTTTCAACATTGTTTTATTGAACCACAAAGCTAGAACAGAGTAATGCCAAACTAATCAAGATCCAAATTTCATGATCTCCTATCCTTAATTCAACGTGGCCTCTGCTGAATTCGACTAGGTCTATGCTGAATCTGTTGTATAAATTAATAACAATTTTAAATCAAATTAAAAATTTAGTTTCTCATTTTTATACGGATAAATTTAAAAAATCTCTTGTATTAATTATTTATTTTTTACAAAAATATCTTTAATTATGTTTTTTTTTATACTATATTCAATAAGTAGTAATATGAAGATTTAATTCTTTATGGACATGAAATTGTAACTTAATAAAATATTATTTTATCATACTAACATGATAAAAAGAGAGTTATATTTCTTTATATATAACAAAAGATAAAATAGTAATACGACGAGTCTAACTACAACATTAACATTAGTGTAAAAGAACAAAATAGTAGATTAACATTTAAAGTCAAAGATTCATTAATAATGCCTTGAATTTAGGGAAAGTCTAAGTCTTTTTTTATAAGAAGTGAATTATGAAAACCTTGCAGCGTTATTTGAGATTTGTCTTTTCACATTCATAGGCAATAAAAATAAAGACTTTAAGTATATTAAAGATGAAATAATAAAAAATTTAAATATTGCTGTCAATATTTTTAAAAAATAATAAAATATATTTTATAAATGTTAAGAGTAATATAAAAAATATATGTTTTACAAATTTAATGTTATTTACATATTTATTAATTAATTAAATTCTTGTAAATTAGTTAATTTTAATTGAATCTTATAAAAATAACTAAAGAATATATTTTGATTTTATTTAAATAAATGTACAGTCTAATTTAAAGAACCAACAATGTTGAATGCAATAATAAGCAAATTTGTACTCTTATATATGAAGTGGAAATAGATTAAAATCTTATATAAGACAATCATTTTCCTAATCACGATATACCCGATCGATACCTTAATCTTACAACAATCAACAATATATGGCTCTATTTCACGTAGTTAAATGATTGAAAAATTAATTGGCACTTAAAAATTTTAACTAAAAGTTGAAAAATTTACTGAAAGGTTTAAAGTTGAAAACAGAAAAGTATTCGTACTATTTCTAAATAAGAAACATTTTAATACTAAAAAGATTATACGAAGTTGTGTTTTGGATTTTCAACGAAATGTGTGATGAAATTAATCATATAATACATTAGGGGTGGACAAAAGTTTGAGATGTGAACCATATCCATATTAAGCGAATAGAAAAACAAATTATCTAATGGTTTTCATATGGTTAATTCGGATTGAACGGGTATAAAAAAAAAGAAAAAAGAAGATATATATAGTTATTGTGGACGATTGTGATTTCAGATTTTATTTTTCATATAAAATTAAACTTGACCAAACCTTTGAAAATAATAAATTTGTTTACTACAAATCACAAAAAAATTATGTAAGTGTCACTAAAATTAAAAGTTGAGTATTGTAGGAGATTGATGTATTATTTGTCATAAGCTCTTATCACATCAATTTTACAATGATGGTATATTATTTTTATAAAATAATGAAATTTTTATATATTCGATTGTCAAAATAAAGGTGATATTTTATATATCATAATATTAATTACAATATACAATAACAAAAAAAAAAAAGGAGATGCATAGATGGACAAGTCATTTAGTTGTTGTAAATTACATTTGTTGGAGAATGCTACAACATGGAAGGGACCTTGTCTTTGAGCGATTCAGCACTAGAGAAGAAGGAGAAAGAACACTATTGAAAAGAATAATTATAATGTACCTCACTTATTACAATCCATCGGAGAATTCATCACAGACGTTATACTCAAATCTGACAAAATCAAGAGCTTAAATAGTCAAAATTAATTCAATATATTTTTATCATGATTTATACCAAGTTTATTTTTATTTTTTTTACTGAACTCGACCGTACACACCTGATGAATCACATCACCACTACAATAGATAATAAATGACAAGGATAAATTTAGTAAAATTGGTTTACTTATTATTATCATTTTCAATGCTATACATATTTTTACGAGAGAGCCTATGATCAATCGTGCTTCAATTGAAATGGAAAAGTTATTTGTTACTTTTCTTAATTTTTGTATTTTTTTTTAAATGTCACTTATTTTAAAATTGAGAGAGTAGTAGATGATCCAATCAAAATTATTTGAAAATTTAATACTTTTTTTTTGTCTTATTTGTTATTATCTCAAAAGTGTCATATTAAAAGAAAAATAAGTGTCTTATTAATTTTTTAATCTAATGTTAATTATCTCTTTCTAGTTGTATATCTAATAATATTATTTAATATAGTTGTTGTATTGTATTATTTTTAGTAAATAAGATTAATAATAAATTTAATTTTGTAAAATTGTTATTCCTTCTCATTTGTTTATAATATTTTTTTTATCAGCAAAAAATAACCTATAACACACTTATTATGTGATGGAAAGAATATTTAATTTATGGTAATTTACATATCCTAAGAAAACAATTTGATTAAACAATGAATACCTAATTTTGTGAAAACAAATAAAAATATTTAAAATATGAAATAGAGAAAAAAAACATAACTTTTGATGATAAATGAGATTAATGAGTCTATTTTCTATTACTTTTTTTTTTTTTTTTTTTGTGTTAGGACAATATGAAATAAGATGTCATATTTGAAGTTATATTTGTATGAATGAGACCTTCTTTATACATTGTTGAAAAACTAAAAAAAATATTTACAACTCATAATATCGCTAACCTTTCTCTCGGTGAAAAATACAATTAATCTGAAAGTAAGCCTTTTTTTTTGTTACATTTAGCATTTCTTTTGGTACGTTAAACGCTCTCTTCTTTATGACTAATTTTTATATAAAAAAATCTGATAAATCATTAGTAATTTTTTTTTAATTTTTTTTATTTCATAAAAATTGAACTCAAAACCTTATTTAAAAAAAATATTATTCGGACGAACGAGTTGTTAGTTAATCCGCCTCTCTTTACTCCACTTAAAAATTTCCACATTGAAAAATTACTATTACCAGTTTCTTACACTCTCGTTTCTCTGTATTATAAAGATAAAAACAACTAAGCATTCAAAAATTTAAAACATGGTTGCATCATAGTATGAGCCTATTGTAAAGCTTAAGATTTAATTTATCACTGCTAAGGGGCATTTGTTTGACACTATCTTCTTACGAAAGAAAATATTATTCAATGGACAAAGGACGAGCTTAATTCTAGCTCATTTCCTTTTCTTCCACGACGCTAACGAGAGTTCAGAGAAAACATAAAAGAAGTTACAAAGTCTCAACGAAGGTGAGACAATCTCTTATTCTCAAGTCTCAACTTATGCTCCCATCTACCACGTCACAGCAAATCCTTTACCTACAGGAATATTCAATCCCGTCAACCCTACCATCGATATATTTTCTTCACCACCCTGCCCGGATAAGTACTTTTGTTGAGTTGTACTAACTTGCACCTTTGATACGCCCATTGATGGTTTCCCATCAATCTCAATTTCTGGTACAAGTGTTCCATTTCGGTTTGACTTTAACCCCAACACTTGTATAGTGTCAATAACCCAACCTTTGTCTAAAGCAAACTTGCCCTCTTGCACTTCTGACCAAACTTTCACCTTTCCTTCTTTGACACTTGCATGGAAAACAACGTAGGTTGAATAGCCATTTCCAACCTTCATTTCTGGCACCTCATCATCATCAAGGAATAGGTCCCCTTTGGCTTCTGATCCTTCAGTTGCACCAGCAGGGAAGGTCACAATGAGGCTGAAGGGTGTCATTCTAGCATCCTTAGTGACCATTCCACCCTGTTGCATGGGAAGAATTGCATTCTGATACACATGCACATTCACCACATGCAAAGGTGCATCAAGGGTAACATTGTTTCCATCTTTTGACACAATGGTCTGAGTTAAATCAAACAGACTGTACCATGTTCCAGGAGGGAAGAGTGCCGTGACTTGTGTTTTTCCTTGCTCAAGCACAGGAGAAATCATTAGATTGCTCCCTATTAAGAACTGAGTGCTGAGGCCATAGCATTCAGTGCAAGTTGGAAATGAGAAGAAAAGAGGCCTTGCAATTGGTGCTCCACTAATATGAGCCTCATAGTTAAGGGTGTATAGATATGGGAGGAGCTTATACCTCATACCTAAAGCATTTCTAGCAGATTCAGCCACTGATTCCCATTGGTAAAGTTCTTGTCTAGGGGAGTCAAAATTTGCATGGTCCCTTGAGAAAGGGTAGAAGGCACCAACTTCAATCCACCGATTGCAGAGCTCTTCATGAGGTGTGGTTTCAACTGAAAAGAAACCACATATGTCTGAACCAACCATAGGCACCCCAAATATTCCAAAATTGAGCATTGTAGTTATCGAGTATCTTAAGTCCTCCCACGTGGCCCTAATGTCACCACTCCAATGTGCAGCATATTTGCCTGAACCCACATAAGTGGAGCGTGACAAAATGAAAGGCCTTTTTCCTTGAAGCCCTTGAAGGGCCTTGTGAGTTGCAATGGCTTCAGAGAAACCATAAATGCTGTGAGCATCATACTCCAAAACACCGTTGTAGTGAACTGCACTAGTGGCTATGGTTCTCGAGCCTATAGGAGCCTCTACTCCTGAAGCGTTAATTTTGTAGGGAGGATCATCCCACCTTGTGCTTGTGTTGGTTGTGCAATCTAAGCAACATGACACAGAAGGTTCTGTTCCACTTGGACACTTTCTTCCCTTAGGAATTTTGCACTTTCCGGTGCAGAAATTTGAAATCTCATTCATGTCAATCCATAGGCCATCAACAGGGACAAGTTCATGGAAGCGACGGATCTCATCACCCCACCAGGAAACTGTTTTTGGATTGAGAAAATCAGGGAAATACACTATTCCTGGCCAAACTTGAGCCACGAAGGGTTCCCCTTCATACTTGATGAAAACATCATTAGCCATACCCCTTTGATATACACCGTAACTGGAGTTAACAGCAATTCCTGGATCAACGATTACTATGTATTTCATGCCAATGCCATGTATTCTGTCCAAGAATTCTAAAAACTTGGAACGAGGGTAGTTAATTGGATTGAGTGTGAAGTCCTTGAGGCCATCCATGTGATCAGCATCATTCCATATCACATCAAGTGGGATTTTCGCCTTCTTGTAGTTTTCGACAACATCTTCTAGCACAGAAAGGTTGTAATAGCCCCACTTGCATTGGTGGAATCCTACAATATAGCAAATAAAATAAGTTAGCATGTTGTTCAAATGCTTTTTACTAACAAATTATCTTCATCCTAATGATTGTTCTGGCAGACAAGCATTATACTTGGGAAGTAAACCATTTCTTGTGTAGTTTTAAGCTAGAACTGGAAGCAAAGCATAATGATCAATGCTACCCTTTACTAACCAATATATTACACTTATTTGTTAAGTAATGTGGAAACGTAGAAATGGAGAAAACTGAAAGACAAAAAAATTAGAGTAAATGCTCGAGTTACAACACAATCTTTTGCAATTTTCATCCAATCCATTTTCTCCTTGTTATTATATGTATGGCTATGCATTGACATAAACAGAATGAGTTGCCTGTCCTGTCTTCATGATAAATGAATTAACTGACAGAATGATAGGTAATAATGGTTATGCAAAAATGATTCTTGAAATAGACCCACAAATTGATTTATAGTTTATTCATAATACATGCATGTCATAAAATCCAAAGTTCCTTGACAAAGTTCACGAGTAAAGATTATTTTATGTGCACTTGGGTAATTAGTACCATCTAGCGTGATAAGAAATTTGCTGTTGTTTTGTTATTAGTACAGAATATTCTGTACCAAAAAGAATGAATACATCATTCGGACTTTGATAGAAATAAAGGGTGGACCGCTGATATAAGGTTTTGTCCAATTTCGTTTTCTACTATTCATAATTTCAGTTTCTGGTTATTTTATAAATGGTTAAGTTTCGAACTTCATGTATGGCCATATCTTTTCATGTGGGCCTAAAAGGTATCAAATTACTAAGCAGGTAAAATTAAAATAAGACCAAAAAGCTATTTGCCAGTGTAAAATAATACAAATAGATTCCGAAATTAAAATAATTCTGTGGACCTAACTTTTACAAAGAAAGAAAACATCCCTACTATCGTTTAATGCCACAGATACGGTAAAGCCAAAAAACTGCTAATTGGAAACCATGTCCCATTGCTTTATCAAATGCATTACATGCACAACAAGGATAGATATGCTCCCATAATCGCACACATCAAGAAGCTCATTTAATTTACAATCACAGTTGAAAACATTACTAGAGTGTTTCCCTTTATTCAATGCAAGAATTAGTCTTTATCAAATAAGTATTTTAAACCTCACTTTTCTCAATGGGGAGTGGTTCTGTTCTGTGGCATCCAAATGACTAATGCAATGCTCAAAAAACAACATGAAACGCAATGATAAGAGAGAGTGAAAAGTAATTCATACCAAAGGCCCAATAAGGCATTGCAGCTGGTCTACCAATTAAGGAAGTGTACTGATCCACAACATTCAGAGGCGTGGGTCCAGCAAAGAAGTAAAAATCAAGCACCCCTCCGATAATCTTATACGTCAGAGAGGTTCCGCTATAGAATGTTGAAAAGTCAAAGAAGGTGGCTGCCAATGAAATCAAATTTGGCAGGCCACCGAAATCAAAATTGGAGGCACAGTAATCAAATTGAATTTGGAAACCGAATTCCAAATTGGAGGCCACCGAATTCACAATTTGATGGAGCGTTCACACTGCAATCGTTCCTTATAAATAGCAAGCCACTCCGTTCATTTTATGCAATCCAACGAAAGCATAAACACATAAGAAAATTGAGAGAGAGAGAAGCTCTTAATTTTTCTGGGTGTAGTTGGGTCGTGGGTTGTGAGTGGTTGTGAGTATTTTGAGAGATTGTGAGTGTTTTGTAAACACTGTTTATATTTCCCTTTTCAGTAAAATATCTGCAGCAGCCCGGAGACGTAGGCAGAGTTGGCCGAACTCCGTTATCAATTTTGTGTGTGCTATTAGTCCACAATTATTTTTGCTCCATTCTCAAATCTGAAGTTACGGGAAAGATCAGCGTAATTTTTCCTAACAACTGGTATCAGAGCTGGTTGTTTCTGTTAAACTTTGGCAAGAGTACTATTCATGTGAAAAGTATTTTTCGTGAATAGTACTATTCACGTGAATAGTGAATAGCTCATCGAAATTGCTGTAGAGAATACTGTTCATGTGAATAATATTTTGTGAATAGTACTATTCACGTTAATAGTGAATAG